AAAAAAAAAAAAAAAAAAAAAAAAGATGAGGGTGAAAACAAATGATAGACTAGAAAAACAAAAGAAATAATCGAAGAAATTAAGAATTTTTAAAAAATAAAATAGATAAATCTAACTAAGCTAGATAAAAAAAGAAAGAATATTAAAGAAAATCAGAAATAAAAAGGAGACATTGCAATGGATACAATAGAGATACAAAGAATCATATAAGACATTATGAACAATTATATACCAGCAAATCAGATAACCTAGAAAAAATTATTAATTCATAGACACATACAACCAACCAAGATTGAATTATAAAGAAACAGAAAATCTGAACAGACCAATAAGTAAGGAGATTAGATCAGTAAAAAACAAGTCTCTCACCAAAGAAAGGCCCAGGACTTGATGGCTTCACCGCTAAATTCTATCAAACATTTAAAGAAGAACTAATAATAATTCTTCTCAAACTTTGTCCAAAAAAATTCTGAAATCAGGGAATATTTCCAAACTCATTTCATAAGGCCGGCACTATCCAGATACCAAAGCCAGACAAGGACAACACACAATAAAGAAAACAACAGGCCAATATCCCTGATGAACACAGATGTAAAAATCCTCAACAAAATATTAGCAAATTTAATTCAACAGCACATTAAAAAGTTCATTCTCAGACCGGGCGTGATGGCTCAAGCCTGTAATCCCAGCACTTTGGGAGGTCGAAGCAAGAGAACTGCATTAGCCCGCAGGTTCGAGACCAGCCTGGGCAACATGGTAAGACCTCATTTCTACAATAAATTTTAAAAAAATTAATTCTCCATGATCAAGTGGGATTTTCCCCCGAGGGATGATTCAATATACATAAATCAATGAATGTGACACAGCACATTAACAGAATGAAAGACAAAAACCATATGATATTTCAAGAAATGCAGAAAAGTATGTGACAAAATTCAATATCCTTTCATGATAAAAATCCTCTACAAATTAGGTTTAGAAGGAAATAAAGACCATATATGACAAATCCACAGCTAACATCATACTTAATGGGGAAAAGTTGAAAGCTTTTCCTCTAAAATACATAACAAGAAAAGGACATCCACTCTTGCTACTTTTATTCAACATAGTACTGGAAGTCCTAGCCAGAGCAACTAAGCAAGAGAAAGAAAAAAAGGCACTCATATTGGAAAGGAAGAAGTTAAACTGTCCTTGTTTACAGATAACATGGTCTTAAATATAGGACACTCTAAAGACACCTCTAAAAAAAAAAAAAGAACTAATCAATTCAGTAAAGTTGCAGGATACAAAATTAACACCAAAAAAATCAGTAGCATTTCTATACACTACCAGTGAACTATATGAAAAAAAAAATCAAGAAAACAATCTTGTTTACAATCAATAGCTACCCCAAAAGTAAAATACTTCAAAAATAAATTTAACCAAGAAGATGAAAGATTAATGGAATTAAGTGGAAAGATATCCCAGGTTCGTGGATTAGAAGAATTAACATTGTTAAAATACTTATAATACCCAAAGAAATCTATGGATTCAACACAATCCCTATCAAAATACTAATGAAATGTCACAGAAATAGAAAAATCCTAAAATTCATATGGAACCTCAAAAGACTCGAAACTACCAAAGCAATCTTGAGCAAAAAGAACAAAGATGGAGGTATCACACTATTTGACTTCAAAATATATTACAAAGCTAGTTACTGGAACAGCATAGTACTGGCATAAAAACAGACACGTAGATCAGCAGAACAGAGAGCCCAGAAATAAATTCACATTAACAGCCAACTGATTTTTGACAAAGGTGCCAGGAACACACAATGGAAAAAGGGTACTCTCATCAATAAATGGTGTTGAGAAAATTGGAAACCCACATGCAGTAAGTGGAATTAAACCCTTATCTCACACCACATACACATATCAATCAAAGTGTATTAAAGACTTAAAGGTAAGACCTAAAAGTATGAAACTACTAGAAGAAAACAAAGAGGAAAAAGCTACATGACACTGGTCTGGGATTTTATATATATATAACCATTTATATATGTTAAATATATTTTATATATATTAAATATAACCTCAAAAGCACAAGCAAGAAAAGATAAATAGACAAATGAGATTATGCCAAACTAAAAAACTCTCCACAGCAAAAGAAACAATCAACAAGTGAAGAGACAACCTACATAAAGAGAAAAAATATTTGCAAATCATACAGATAAGGGGCTAGTATCTAAAATATGTAAGAAATTCAAGCAACTCAATAGCAAGAAAACAAATAATCTGAGTTAAAAATGGGCAAAGGACCTAAATAGACATTTCTCAAAAGAAGACATCCAAATGGTCAACAGGCATATGAAAAAATGCTCAACATCACTAATCATCAGGGAAATGCAAATCTAAATCACAATGACATAATTCCTCACACATGCAGGAATGACTATTATCAAGATGAAAGATTACTGTTGGCAAGGATGTG